GTGCATGTTTGTAGAGGTCTGTGCTAAGTGCCTCAGGCCTGCCAAACGAGTCAGGACTTTTGTAGCCGATTTTGAAATGTGGGGGGAAAATGAAATGTGAATGTTCCTTGAAATGGAGCAGCGTAATGAACTCAAGACTGTTCCCATATTCAGCACTACTCTGGCGTTTCTCCATGTATCCCACAATGCCTATTCATTTGAGACCTTAACCATTGCGTTCTTTCGCTTTCTAGCACACTTTCAATCAGTTTTTTTTCCTCTTGTTTCCATCATTTTCCCTCTGTTTTTCCAATTCCTGATACAATCAATCGCAGACGTTCATGATAACTAGGTTTTGACCTTGACTCTCTTAAGAGTGGATACTTGAAGTAGTGTGATTTCACTCTTGACGGTCGAGTCATAGATCTGAGCTGAGTCATCATGGGAGCAGACTGTAGATGAGTCACGTCCCTGAGATGGACAGCTTGGGTTGCCCTCTCTTACCGCAGGCCAAGAATTCGTAATGTTTATACTGTACCTCACATGCTGTGAACTGACTGCAATTTGCTTTCTCAGAGCTACCTGCTGCTGCACTTGTTGGCTGCGTACTTACTGTGTACACAGCTTATCAAATTAGATTTTATAGTCAGAATATTTGTTTTATAATTCAATTTCGGTCAAAAGGCAGTTGAGTCCAGGTATTGAACTGTTCATGACATTCTACAAAAAATCTGTGACAATAAACAGCTTCATAGGCAAGTTTGTCAGTTGTATGGTACAGATTCTTGTTGCATGTAAGCGAAACAGTCAATTTTTTTCCTCCAGGATTCTCTGCAGCAGAAGGACGAGCGCATCGAGGAGCTGGAGGAGGCCTTGCGTGAGAGCGTTCAGATCACGGCTGAGAGAGAAATGGTGTTGGCACAAGAGGAATCTGCTCGTGCAAACGCAGAGAAACAGGTGAGAAAACACCACACACAGGTGAGATGAAGCTCAAGGCTCATTAATATGCACTTTCTTTCTCTCTCTCTCATTTATGTCTTTCTTTTTTTGACGCTATGTATTGTTCACTTGCCATATTTTTTTTACATTTGGATCAGTTTTATTTAATACTCTGGGCCTTGTTTTATTTTATTTTTTATATTTCTTTTTATTTATTCTACCTTTGTTTTGTTATTTCATTCATATTTTTATTTAATCTTTATTTATCTTTTGTTTTGTTTTGTTAAAAATCTCCATTCAATGAGATGTTTGACAACATTACCAATCCAGCTATATCCAGATAACTTGAAGTATGATAAACCGTCATGTTTCCTGGAAATGTTCCTAGCAATGTTTCTAAAGAGCTCCTGTGTACCTTTATAACGAGGCTGTGATGTGTTACCTGAAGCAAAATGTGTGCGGTAACTTCAGCGTGATGCTCGCCAAACCCTACAGCCATCTTTTCATTGTGGAAATGTCCACTTCCTCATCTGCCTGGTCAAACATCCGCCCTAGTGTTTATACAGAGCTGTATGCACATCCACGTAAGGCTAGCATCGCTCAGGCCGGACTGTAATGGCTTTTGCTTGGCGGACGGTATTACTTCCATTAAAAAGCCTCCTTCACAGATCTCAGGAACCAGCAAAAAGCCGGCCTGTCAAAGCACATCACCACACCAGCATGTAGAGCCGTGCCAACCATCCAGATCCATGCCAGCAGTGCCAGTGGTGAACATTCATGTGGCATGCATGGGTTACGTGTTTGTGTCTGCAGTCAGTCTTCATTTAGAACATAAATAAGCTTTGCGTGGCCTGCGTGAGAACTACTAACTTTGGTCCGATTCAGTTCAGCTACATAGAACGTGCGCACATGAGGAGCATCCTGTGTGTTGACTGCACATGCCAGCATTTCTTTCTTAGCATTTTTAAGCAGGAGTTCAACTGGGATTTTGGAGGTAGAGGAGCAAAATAATTGACACATATATAGACTCTACCTGGGTCTACTTAAAGGAATTGTTCACCTAAAAATGAACATTCTGTCATTATTTACTCACCCTTATATCATTCCAAACCCATAAGTCTTTGGTTAATCTTTGAAGCACAAATTATAAGATATTTTTAGTGAAACCTGAGTGGTTTCTGTCCCTCCATAGAAAGTCCAGGTAACCGAAATTTAGAAGACACAGAAAGTTCATAGAGGTGTCATTAAATAATTCCATATGAAACAAGCAGTTTTAACCAAGTCTTGTGAAGAGGTGTAAATACTTTAATTGTAAATGATTTAATTTAGGCACATATAAACACAAATACATAGAGTGTATCACGTATGGTAAACGCAGACCTTTTTGGATCTACTAAATTTGGATAAATTTGGATCTAAATGGTTACCTGGACTTTCAGTGGAGGGACAAAAACCTCTCTGGTTTCATAAAAAAATATCCTCATTTCAAAGTTTTTTAAAGATTAACCGAAGTCTTATGGGGTTGGATCGACATGAAGGTGAGTAAATGAATTATCCATTTAATGCAATTCAACTCTCTAAATGGAGACCGAATGTGTGTCTTCATCTAGAACACATTGGAAATGGATTGAATTTGCAAATAAACTGCCAATAATTTGTTATTTTATTATCCAAAGGTGCTGGAATGCCGTTCCTGAGTTTTCCTGGCCTAATCTAACCTGTTTTTAATGCAGTTTGCACCACTGTCTAGCTGTCTGTTGAGCCTTGACGATAACATCAAACTCCTATAACCTTTTCTGAACGAGTCCTCCATGAACCGGACAACACAAGCAACCAGTCAGGCTTTGAAACGGAGAGCAAAGCAGCTGCCAAAATCTTGCTTCCCCTCTACCTGAATCCCTGAACTTTTCCTCTTTCTCCTTCTCTGTCCATCTTACTTGGCTCCATCGACTCTCTGCTTCATTTTTAAACCCTTAATGGTTTGTTCTACCTTCTGTGGATGCTGGAGCCCTGCTGTTTCCTTCCTTTTCGCTCTCTCCATTTTCTAAAGATTCGCATGGCTGGCTGAGCATCGTCCCAGTGTGCGTTGCAGTCTTGGGAATGTGTTGTGGCCTTCACCGCCGAGTTTCTTCACTCCCAGGCGGACCTCCACTCCAATCCCCCAGAGGTTAATTAGAGCTGGGGGCTGCGGCGGGAGCCAACGCTGCTGCTAAGCCTGGCCTGGAAATGGGGACAGTACAAGTGCCACCCTCCGGAGCCAGTCTCCACGCTCATTACCGATGTCCCAGTCGCATCAAGTCTCGCTACGCACTCAGGATATCGCCGTTAGAAGTTCTTCTCCACTCTGGCACCTGTTATATAAGAATGAACTCATATTCCGGGTTACATATTTAGGGACTTATGAGCTATTCAAAAAAATAGAATGGCAGCTTGCCTCACTGGCAATTGGCAGACATGTTTTTAAATGCGTAATTTGTGGTCCTGCATTAAACCATACAAAATCTAATTAGCTTCACACAAATGCACACGGTTTTCCTTACGCACACACAGAGTCTCTCCTCCGCTATTTAATTAACATCCCTCCATTGCTTCACCACACCCTTTGTTGTGCCAATCATAAGCAAGCATTCGTCTTTAGCTCTGTGTTTAATTTCCTCCAATAGCTGCTCGCCTCATTGTTCTCATTGTGCAGAGCATATGTTGGACCGAGTGCAGTGCCTGTACAAATTGCTGTCAGTATGTTGTTCTTAAATGTATGGGGACGAGGGTGACTGCTCTTTGTTACACTGACATGAAAGCAAACCTCTGGCCAAAAACGAGTCCATTCTTTCTCGTCAAGCCAAGTGCGTCTGTTAAGCTCACTTAAAAGCTGTGTTGTGTGTGTGTGTGTGTTTACTTGTTTAATTAAAGTGCATGGAAGAGCTACAAGTTGTTTGCTCCATTCATGCAGGTAATGAAATTTGGAAATATGAATCCAAACATGTGTTCCTATGGGTTCTCATATGTACTAGATGAAGTCTAAGACAATTACACAGGTCAGTGTTAACGTTGTCTGCTAAAATGCTACTATTATTCCATCTTTCCGAAAGGGATAGATCACCGCAAATGGAATTCTGTCATTATTTGCTCACTTTTATGTCATTCTAAACCCATGTGCATTTTTGGGTTTTACAATAAACATTTAACAATAAGGTAAAATTTGTCAAGATTATTAATGCATTAGGTATCATGAAAGAACGATATAAAATTTCTTCAGTTTAACAGCATTTAGTAATTTTGGTTAATGCTAATTTATAAATATATTAATATAAATATGTATAATTATAAATATATTAATATAATTAATAATCATTAATAAATATATTAATAATTGTTGTCTTTCTTTTACAGTAGTTATTAATCTAATAATGTTAATTCATAAATATATGAATACATTTATTTATAATTTTTCTCAACAGGCATACAACAGGTGACGCATCAAATTAATGAATACATATAAATACAAAGGAAAGCAATGACAATTTAAATAAATGATGCCAAAAATGTATTAAAAGTTGCATGTATGTTTTTGATATTTCAAGATATTCATGCTGTCATGGAGTAACAATGAATAATAGTATATTTATTAACATTAAACTAGATTAATAAATGCTGTAGAATATAGTTGTTCATTGTTAATTGATGATATCTAATTCTTTAATGTTAACGAATTAAACCTTATTGTAAATTGTTGCTGCAATGTTCATGGTCCATAGAACTATGCAATGCTCCTTTAAAGCCTTATGATAGTTTTGTGTGGCAAACAGACTTAAATTTAAGGCATTAACCCCTCTGTTGAACTCTTACGTACCACTAAAATGGCACACTTGCACCAGGTTTGACGTTATATACATGAATCAGTGTGGGTTCTCGCATGTCTTGTTATATAATATGCCACAAACTTTTATTTGATTTGAGAGCTGCAGCATTGAAGAATGAATAATGACAAATAAGTCAAATAATTTTTTTTGTGTTTCATAGAAGAAATTGAAAGATTTTGAACAACACGAGTAAGGGATGACACATTTTTATTTTTTAGGTGAATTCGTTTTTTTAAGACTTCCCCTAATTTTTCTCTCCATCTCACTCCATCTTCATTGCAGAATTGATATTCAGGAGTGTCAAAACAATGTTTTCTCAGTCTGTTCAATGTGCTTGTTTAGCGGCTGAGCCTGTCTTATTTTAGCTGATGCTTTCATGAGCGTTAGCGTCCTGCCAAACCCCCGTTGCAGTAATTGCTTTAATGAGTCGTGTGCTAGTAAGGGCAAATGTGGTCGCCGAGAGAAAAAGGGGGGCATTTTCTTCCTACACAGGGCCCTGGGTGTGCAGTGACACCAGTCATTCAGCTCCAGCGTGGAATTTACGGCCGGGATGTACGAAAGCGACCAGCCGCTCATGCGGGGCCATTGAAAACGTTTGCCCAAGACCACATGAAAACACGCGTCCAGTCTCCAGACATGATTCAGCAGTGAAATGACATACTTCATAACCTTCCCTGGAGGCAGTGGACCAAAGAAAGCCTCAATCTCTCCGCTCGTTTTGACCGGGGATGATGGGATGTCTCGAAACTGCCCTTACTCTTTCACCGCAAGCTTCCCCCCTTTCCCTGTCGGCCCGACCCAATCCTGTATGGATCTCTTTTCCGCTCCCAACCTGTTCTCACTCAGACGTTTCACTGTTGTCACATTGGATCCATGGTTACTGTCCTTTTTCTTTCTCTAGCCCCTCTTTCTCTGCTTCCAATTTTCCTTTTGCGTGGTTTGTTTCAAACTGTTGTTCTGTTTTGCTCTGTTCTTTCTCTGTTTCCTCTTTGGCTTTTTCTGTAATCCCTCTTTTTCTCTATTTCTTCTCCATCGCTCACTGCCTGTGCAAAGCGCTCTCATGACCTAATGCATGACTCCGGCCACGCTGGCTTTAAGTGGCTCAAGGTATGGCACAATTAATGTTTTCTCTCTGTTTCATTACTGATTAAAAATTAA